TTAATCAAAGTGCCGGCAAATTGAGCATTTAAAGTGATTACCTACACCACCATATGTACATAAATACGAATTTACTATTTCCTCATTTGTTGCTCGGTTTCGAAAAGTAAATTCGCCCGGCGTTTTGATCGTGTGTTGTTGGTTTGTGGCTCAAAACAGCGGCGAGCTCGCTGAAAGTTTGATTTTATAAATTGAGTGTAAATCGGCACACAGTGTGTGCGAGCAATGTTGGAACATTTCATTGATAATTGTCTTACAAAATTTTTGATACTAGATTTCAGCCGACTTCTGGTACTGATTTAATGTGAACATTGAAAAATAATATCTTTAGCAAATTTGAAACTTTTTCGCCGACCTCAATCAAAATAGATGGCAAAGAATTTGAACATATTTTCAGTAAGGTTTTTCGTGAGGTCAAATAATGATATTTTGCTTACCGACCTTAAGTCTAGTCTTCATGAGATTAAATTCAATGTTTCGAGAGAAAAAGTGGAATAGGGGCGAAATCATTTAGAAAAGATTTTTTGGATGTTCGAGTGCATGACCATCCAACACTCCTCACACTACTCATTGCGCATTGTTTAACAAATTTCTTATATTTTCTTATTTTATTTTAATATTCGTCCTTTCTTCCTCAAGACAGACAAAGTTTTATAAATATTTTTGTTTGTTTGATTGAAAATTAGTTTTTCTAGCCTTGTGTTTTAAATTGAACCCTTTCTACAGGGTTGTACACATTTTGTTGAATGTATTCGAAAAAAATTTTAAAAACCTTTTTATTATTCCAAAAAATCCTCATTATAGATCGATTTACTTGGAATACGGGGCATGGGAAGTTTTTGTACACATTAATATGAGTACGACTTTTCCTTCTAGGAAGCTCTCCAGGAATCCAGTTCGAAGTTTTACTAAGTACATACGTACCGATTTTGTCTACATTCGAATTCGTTCCAACGGGTCAGATGGTCAATAAAGTGTTTTATTTGAGCGTTTTGAGGCGTTTGCGCGAAAACATCCATCGTAAACTGCCGGAATTGTGGGCCAACAACCGATCTGTAAATGTGAAGAATTTTAAGACCAAAACACGTTCGATACCAGCGATCAACCACCGTATTCACCAGATTCGACCCCATGCGACTTTTTTGTTTTCAAAACTCACCCGTTTAGACTCGTTTGGGGCCGTAAAAGAAAATTCGCTGAGGGAACTCAGGTTGACTCATTTCATTTTTGGTATAGTAATTAAGGACAGTGCTACCAACTTAACAAAAAAAAGGATCTAATTTAATAGAAGAAAAAATACGCAACAACATGTATCCGTATTTCCTACTTTATTTATGTATAAATTTCGTACTGAACGTAACTAAATAAATGAGTCAAATTTAAGGAATTAAATAATTTTTTTTTTAATTTTTTTTCGAAAAAAAAATCTAAAAAAAAAATTTAGTACATGTATGCTGGTCTTGTGTTTTTTTTTTTTTTTTTTTTGATCTCATAAAAACCATCTACAATTTACTTTGGTATTAAAATTTACGATTCGCAGGCCTATTCTCACTGTTACCGGTAAAGTAAATTTTGTTACTTTTCTTTAACACTCGAAATTGAATTTGGTATTGTGGCAAACCGGTTACAATGTTTGAAAAGGCTTGGCAGCACTATTTTTTTCAGCCTTGTGAAATTACATTTACCAGTTGATGAGTAAAAAAGAAAAATATTCACATTGAAATGGAAGACAAAAAAATTAAAATGTTTTATTAATTTGTTTATTAAATCATAAATATTTGAACGTAGTTTTGGAAAATATTTCTAAAAGACAAAAAAGCTGAATGAAAACGCTATTTTCGAAATTAAAAAGGTCATTTTTTTCTCGCAACTTCTAAGCATACGCCTTTTTAACTTTAAAATTTACAGGGTGACAGTGAACTCAGAATACGAAATAGTAACAAAATTTACTGAATGGTAAATTTTAATCCCTAGGTAAATTTTGTTACCTCGACAGAATAGCCCTGTCAGTACATTATTTTTCTATTTGGTATTCTGAGTTCACTGTCACCCTGTAGGTTTTGTTTTTCCAAAACAGGAGGTAACAAAATCTGCCTTTTTGATTTTGTGTTCTTAATTCTAGAATTTGATAAAAACCAATGTGCTGCCAAAGTATTTTCAAATAATCTTGCACAGGTTAGATTATTTGAAGAACAAATTCAGTTTCGGGTGTTAAAAAAGTAACAAAATTAACTTTACCCGTAACGGTGAGAATAGCTATATATTATATGTAAATCACTCTTTCATAATTATGAGCTTCCCGCTTTTATTGTATTTTTGAATTTTTTTATTGAAAATCAAAATCTCCATGCTCAAAAAATCTTGCCTTTACATACATACACGTATGTATGCATTCAAATATTTTTTATAAATATTTTCTATTTCAAAGTTCATTGTTTGTGATTAGGCGAAGCGTTTTTGCAGCTGTTCTGAAATCTAGCACTATGTGCATGTATGTATGTATGTGTGTATATCATACAAAACAGTAATTAAATATATATAAATAGAGCAGAAAGTCGCAAGTAGAATAATTGAACTTCTTGCGATAATAATAAAAAAATATTGTTTAGGTTATGTACACATATATATGTATGTACAACATGTTATATTTCTATAAGATATACATACTACATACATTTATAATATACATATATATTTTTTCCGCATTTTCTGACTGATTGCATGTCTCTAGATTTGCATACATACATATATAGTCTCACTGACATGTATGTACGTACATATGTATGCCCATAAACCTATTTGTAACAGAATATTCTTCTTGAAAACATAATCTGGAAAATGTATGCGTCACAAAGAACGAAAAGCGGAAATGCATGAAACTCTAGTATTATAGAGCAAGCACATATATACTCGTATATGCATACATATACTAATTTTTTAGAAAATAAAAAAATAGTTTGTATTCTTTTTACATTCAAATGAAGCGATTAATTGCTCACTACAATATACTTCCAGACTTTCAGTATGTAATCACACTCTATGTACAATATAAAAATATGTCAATAGATGAGCGTTGTAAAATTTTCGCACTGATTATCTCATATATTTATGTGCATATGTATGTATATACCATGCATACATTTAGTATGGTAATAGAAACTGGTAATTAAATAAAAGTTAAATAAACACATTAATGTTTTATATTTAATATTCAATGGAAGTTAAATTTGCAAAAAAGTTATTTTAAACTGAATATTAAATGAATAATATGAAATGCAATTTATTTATATATATAATATTATTTATAATGATTGTCCTTTGTATGTGCGAGGGAGTGCTTTTATGTTCGCAGAACTGATAATGGGTGGAAATAAAAATCCCAAATTAATTTTTTTTCAAAGTATTCACCTGCTAGCTGGATACATTATTCAGACCTTTCAATTAATTTATTTATAGTCCATTAAATATGTTGCTTTTCTTCAAAATGCCACGAAACTGCCTGCTAGGATTCATCATCGGTGCTCAGTTCTTTATCCCTCAGCTCTTTTTTTCGTTTTTTGGAAACGAAGTATGTTTACTCGGGCCAGATTTAAGCTGTAGGGTGGTTGAATCAAAAGATCGTAGCCCATCTTATGCAGGCCGACCAGCTAACGTAACACAGCGAATGAACTTCCGAATGCGTGCGCATTTTCGGCACTCATCTCGCAATGAGCTTAGTTAGTTCAGGTTTTTAAAAATGGCCATATCGGATATTCGAACCGTTTCTGCGAGTGCTTTCTGCTTTAGAAATTTTTGGACAAATTCTTGTGTGGTGACCCCGATGCTTCGGGTCGTCTTCGAGAGATTCCCTTCCTTGAAGCTCGTTCTTAGCAGCTTACATCCCGCCCGACTAAGCTTTAGGTTTCCGGAGAGTTTCTTCTTCTTCTTTGCTAGCGTAGACACACCTTATATCCGAGTTAAAACTAATTCACCAGTAATTCCTTCTTCGCGCTGCTTGGCGCCAATTGAAAATACCAAGCACAGTCAGGTTCTTCTCCAATCATTCCAACGTAATTGCGGTCTTCTTCTTCCTCTGCTTCCATCGGCGCGTATTTCACCGAAAACTTTCATCCCCACCACATGAGCTAGCCGTTTCCAACGTGCATGCCTCCGCATCATATTTTACTTTTCGATTGCCTACTCAATACAAAGCAGAACCCATTGACAAGAGTATTTCTACGTTGACTTATAGAAGATCGTACTTCCTCTATTCAGCTCGGCGGTTCGTACTGTTTTCTCCAGCAATAAATTAAAGAAGTCACACTATAAGGAATCACCTCTGAAAACTCGTTTGGTATCGAGCCGCTCGGGAAGGTCATTTCCGATCCTCAAAGAGCTCTTGATGTTGCTCAACGTCAATATAACCGAAGTCTGTTTAAAAATCGACGAAGAGATGGTGTGTGTGGATTCTTTTGAAGAGGTATTTTCCAAGATTTGACGGATGGTGAATATCTGGTCATTAAACTTTCAAGTTTAATGCCACATCGACAAGGCTCAATAGAATATTATGTCCGATATTAAGGAGCCTTATCTCCCGGTAATTGGCGCAGGCCATGAGATCCCCTTTGTTATGGATTGGTCAGACACCAGCAGATGGCGAACCCGAGTCCCTAATCAATGACGTTGGAACAGATCTTTCATAGACCGAATTTAAAGACGTTCGAATAGCTTTCACAAGTTAGGTGCGAACATTCCAAGTGACTCGAAAGTCGAAAATTTTGAGTGAGCTTTTTTACCCTCTCAAGATATAAATATAACTAAAAGTGAAATATAACTAAAAGTAAACGGACTGAGAGATGCAGTCTGTAATAAAAAAATGTTTTCAAAATTCCCGCCTTATCGCCTGACTGGGTTATACATATGTATATACGTACATTTGTATGTGATTACTCATATGTGTTGCTTTTGCCATTTTATTTCTGCTATAATTTACGGTTCCCAATAGCTAGTGCCACCACAAACGCCGCGCTGCTGTTGCTGCTATAGTCGCTTCATTTGACAGTTGGAAAGCAAAGTTTTCAGTTTGGTTTTTCAACGCGCAACGAACGAACGCGTCCCACTGAAAAGCACTCTGTGACCGATCAATCGACCCACTAACGGGCAGGCTGTTTTGTTGTCGATGCATATGTGTGTATGTGTGTGTGTGTGTGTGTGTGTGTAAGTGTGAGTTAGACGCTGTGACCGATAATAAATTGATACGCGCCGCAGTCAATGTTTTATTCGTATCTGTATCTCCAGTGTGTTGCGTCCTCATATTGCGCTTCTTGAACTACTTAAATGCATACATCCATGTGTACATACTTACATACATATCGTATATCAAGAATTTTACATATCTGGAGTGAATATGTAAAAATTTATTTATTGGTTTATTGTGCCGTCGTCAACATAGAAAACAAAAAAATATTTTATTACATGTGAAGTGATAAGGAATCGTACGAAACTATATCAGTGCATACATACATATGTACATACATACATCCGTGTATATAGAATAATCTGAGAATCTATTTTGTGAAAACATGGTTTTGTGATATTCCGCTTTGATGCATTATCAGCCAGCAAAAGCGGAACTTAGTGTTCTCAAAAGTGCAAATAAAAAGTAAAAATTTAACGTTCTTCCTTTAAGTGAACTATGTTTCCAAGCTCCAAATCGTTTATTTGAAAGTAAATTAACGGAAATAAAATTTATTTTTTTTTACAAAAATAACAACAAAACTTTCAGGCTCAGCGTTTATTGGTATGCCCGGCTTGGTTTGTCTTCTTTTCACCGCGTAAGTGTAGTTTAATTGGAAGTTTAATTTATTCACGCATTAAAAAGGTCACTTTTCGTATTAAATTATCTTGAATTGAAATAATGAATAATGTAATAATGAAAGTAAATTGAGAAAGGGAGTGTCTGGCTGCGCTTTATTGTGTTCTAATTCAGACAAAAATTAAAACTTTTGACGCAGGAATTAAAGATAGATTTATAAAAAAAATTTCATTAAATAAGGGTGTTTTTTAAGTGGGGATTTCGATGAGGCAATACTTCTTTCGGTCTGTGGACAGCTGTTACTTAAATTACATATATACCGTTCAGTTCAATATTTCACACGGCACAGACTTACACCGTTTGCAAATCGTGCCAATTTTGATTCACTTTATTTTTCGGAAGAATCTTAGTTTGCGAGCTGACTAAATCCAATTCATGAAGCTAACTTTTGATTTAGTTGGGACATTTATGAACCACAAAATTATCGCACTTGGAGTGATGGTAATCCACATGCCAGCATGAAATGCGATTAATTTCTCAAAAAGTCACTGTTTGGTGTTTTTTATGGGCAGAAAGAATCATTGTTTGTGTTTCCTAAGCGACTAAAAGTGCCTTCGTGGTTTTTGCATTACGATAATTCACAGCACTCGTTCTTCGTAGCCATTTCGCTAAAAATTCCACGAATGTTGTTCCGCAACCAGAGTATTCGCTGGACTTAGCATGTGACTTCTAGCTCTTCAAAAAACTCAAGAGCACACTTCGAGGACAACGTTTTGAGTCGATTGACGAGATTAAACGTGAACCGGCGCACTCTCTGAAGGCCATACCAGAACATGACCATTTGATATGCTTCGATAATTCGAAAAAGAGTTGGCATAAATGCATTGCATAAGCAGGAGACTATTTCGAAGACGACGAAATCGATGTAGAAGAATAAATAGAGATTTTTAATTTCACAAAAAAAAAATTCCTTACTTAGTACCATTCCAATTGCTAGAATTTAATTGAGCCAGCGGCAATGATAATTAGACTGAAATCATTTTGAAGTCATAATGGCAAGTTTTCATCTATTTGTTGAAGCTAAATTCTTGGAGCGAATGCTTTGCGGTTTAAAACCAAATAGCTAAAAAAAATACCCTCTATTTACGGAAAAATATTTTTTGATGATTTTAATGTAAAACAATTGTGTTGTAAAAATATTTTTATTCGACTTTTAAAACTTTGTCCCGTAATCCTGATCTCCTACAGGTGTACCTTTTTAAAGATTGTGGATGAGCATAGGAGTGGTTTCACTGTACTTCACCTCATCTGTTCTCAGCAAATCGCTGATGTCGCAACAACTGTAATTTTTTACATAAGTTTAAGGAAATAGAACATAGTGCTGTACATTTATTCAAAGGCATAACACTTTACTTGGGAGCATTGAGTTCCACACGCGCACTTTTAATCAATTTAATATTACGTAAAATAAAATATTAAGCAAGGAGATCAAGTTTTACCGGGTTCTAAGTTAGCCCTTCCAAATACTAAAAAAGAGACCTTAATTCATGATACGATCCAAAGCGTCAAATAACTTTTCTTCTTAAAATTTCCCTTTTTTAAATCACCACTGCATTAGTAGAAATATGCATATCTTCCCAACTACTGATAGCATTGAGTTCCGCTCAATCCTCAGCCCAGCAGAAGGTTTCCGTTTCTAAGTCGCATGATTTTTTTAAATTTATACTTTAAATATCAATAGAAATCATTCAAAATCTGTCCAAAAATATTCCAAAATATGTTCAATTTTTCAAAACCATTGTATAAACCACCCTAATATAAAATGTATCGGTTTTATTAATTTTTGTTTTTTTTTAAATGTGTCAAGTATGAGACGGTACATGTCATATACCAAGCTTGACAAATACGTATAATGTATATACATACATATAATTTACGCACAAATACGGTATCTGTTTTCCACAAACAAAAACGAAAATATTTCACCTCATTAAAAATGTATTTAAACGTATTTAGTAATGAAATGGTGTAAATTGAATTTTCAAAGTCATTTAAAGAAATTGAACAAAGGAGTTGCTAGCATTTGATTTATTTCAGCTAACTGTAAATACATACATATTAGTACATATACGTGCACATATAGTACAATATATAAATATTGCCTCCTCAAAATTGACTACTTCATATGGAGGCAGATTTTAGTTTTTAAAGTCATTTTAAACGCCGAAAGAGCGCAGATAGAAATGGAAGGGGAGAAAATCGAGAAACCAGGTATTTCCTGGTATTCTAAGAATTGTAGTAAACCGCAAAACTTTCGCACTGTAAATAGACACGAAGTCGCATTATTTGTATTTGTTAGATGCGCGAAGATATAACGCGTCCATTATCTCAAATAGCGTCAGTCGACGGCAAGCAGACATCGATTATTATAAATAAATATGCATAAGTATATAAACAAACATAACTTATATCCAAATAAGAATATCTGTAAGAACACATTCTTTCTTTTTATACAACAAACATGCTAAAATGAATATTGGGAATCGGTTTTTGTTTATCATAGCTTAGAGCATTTATTTCTCAACTAAAAGCAGTAGCACTCAAATTTTGTATTTACATATGTACATGTGTAGGTTTCTTAAATAAACAGCTCTGGCGTCAGTGGCATCTGCCAAATTAACAAGATGATTTACAATTTTTTAATGTTTTTCTGGTTTCCAACATCGTTTTTTTTATTAACTCATATTAATAAAATATTAAAATGAAAAAAACAATTACACAAACAGCAAAGTTCTAGTACAACAACTAAAAATAGCGCCGATGATAAAAGGTATAATTAACTTTATAAAATAAAAAAATTCAAAATGAACGAAAATAGAAATATTTAATTTAAATAAAACTTAATTAAATATAATAAAATAAAATGAACCAAAATAAAACTAAAGAATATAGGTGAAGCAAAATAATTAAAATCATATGAAAAAAAGAAAAATATAAAATAAAACAAAACAAAAAAAATAGAAAAACTAAATAAAATTAATTTAAATTGAATTAAAACAAGATAATAAAACTAACTAATATATATAAAAATTATAAAGAGTATTAAACAAAATAAAGTTAAAAAGAATGAAACAAAGTTAAATTAATTAGTTAAAAATAAAGTAATATCAAATAAAATAATATAATATAAATTTAAATTAAATAAAACCAATAAAAAAATTTAAAATAAAAGAAAATGAAATAAACAAAATAAAATAAAATCAAATTAAATAAAATCAAACTAAATTAAATTAAATCAAATAAAATAAAACAAAACAACATAAAATTAAAGATTATCAAATAGAAGAAAACAAGACAAAATGAAAGCAAAAAATATAAAACAGTTTTTTTATATATATAAATCAAAATAAAATAAAACAGTATGATAGAATACCAAATAGATTAAAAAAGAAATAATTAATAAAAATATATGAAAAAAATATTAAAATGAATTAAAATATAATTCAATAAAATATTATAATACAAAAAGAACCAGAAACAAATAATACATGTCAAACAAAATAATTTAAATCATATAAACAAATCAAACATAATATCAAACAAATCAAAATAAAAACAAAAAATTATTTAAATTAATTTAAATTTAATTAAAAAGGTGAATAAAACTAATACATGCATAAAAAAATAAAAAATACTAAATAAAATAAAGAATAAAAAAAAAGAATAAAATAAAATTAAATTAAATAAATTTGAATAAAAATTGAACTAAATAAAACGAAAATATAAAATTAAATAAAATAATAAACAATAATATAAAATAAAATATGATAATGCCAAACAAAAAATAAAATCAAATAATTTAAATTAATATTAAAATTAAATTTAATAAAATAAAATATAGTAATTTCGAATAAAATAAAATAAGATAAATTTAAATAAAATAAATAAAATAAAATTAAATTAAATAAAATAAAATAAAAAAATAAAATTAAAGAAAATAAAATAAAACAATAAAAAAGTTAAGCAAAATGGTTTTAAATAAATAAATTGATTTAAAATAAAATTATGTAAACAAAATAAAATAACACAAATTAACTTAAACTAAATAAAGTAAGATAACACGAATAAAACTAAAAAACATTTAATAGAAAAAAACAAAGCGTAATAAAAGATAAAAATTAAACAAAATAAAATAAAGTAAAATTAAAAAAATGAAATGAAAAAATAAATTAAATAAATAAAGAAATAAAACAAAATAGCTTTAAATAAATAAATTGAAATTAAGAAAATGAAAATAAGAAAAGATAAAATAAAATAGAAGAAAACGAAACAACAGAACAGAAAAAAATTGAACAAAATAAATTTAAATAAAATAGTATAAGAAATATTTAAGCATAATTGTAATAAAATCGAGGAAATAAAAATAAAAATAGAAATAAAAATAAAAACAAAAATTCAAATACAAATAAAAAAAAGTAAAATGGAATTGTTTAATTACAAAACGTTTGTTAAAATTTTAAAATTCTGCTTCTTTTAGAATAGCCAACACGTGTACTTAATAGCAGTTCACGAACTTCTAAAAATGCGTAGGCTTAAAATTTATTGATATTTTTTCAGTATATTAATACATTTGTACTTAAAAAAATGCGACTTATTTGGCTTTTTTCGCTTTTATTAATGCAAATAAATTTCACTTTGGTCATTATTTTCAATATAAAAATTATTAGTGGTTTGTAAAAAATTGTTACAAAATCCAGTATTCATGCGACAACTTTGAATTATTATAATTTTAAAAATAAAACAGCAATTTTTTACAAGTATATTTCATTGCAACAGGTTTATGTGTTTAATGAGGTAATATTTGCTAATTTCAAACATTTTAAATTTCATTGATAATTAGCAGGTAGTGACATATTTTTTAGTGTGTTTTTTAAACACTGTTTAGTTCGAATATGTTTGTTGCCTTAGAAATAGGCTTTCATCTTTGCCGGTATTGAAATTTTTAATAGAGTTTTAAAT